TGTTTTCCACAAAAAAATTGTGTAGTTTTTCATTTGGGTGAATTGTCCCTTTAACTGCAGCCATGTAGTTCAGTGCTTTGAACATTTTAATAATTTTTAAGTGCAAATAGCCAAACTTGTTGATTTTTTTCCATTAACTCCACCCACCGTTGCTCAAATGTTTTACTTTAACTATAAATAGCATATTTATTCTTTGTGTGAACAGCATCAATCACTACTTGCAATTAGTGTAAACAAGATGCAGTGCAGTTTGTTGCTATTTATACTTGATGCAAACATCTACTGCTGTTTACACTGTATAATTAGCACCTACTTTTTTTACACATAAATTTCAGTCACATTTACTGTTGTTCAGTGAATTTTCGCATGCGAAATCCAGTTATTTCAGTATAGAATCCACACAAGTTTCATGTAAGGGCGAAAGATTTCCCCATGCAGATTTAGTTGGTCGTTGGTCACCAACAGAAACTTACTTGTTTTGAAAGTGACTTCTGTGAGAGCTGTGTTTCATGCATCTTTATGCTATTGACATTATTTGCTTGTAAAATTGCTCTGTGACCACCTTTAGTGTAAATATAGTCGCCTGCTGCCATCTTAATTAGTTTCTAAATACTGAAACTTAAATGCTAATATTTGCATCATCTTTTACCATATGAATCAAACTAGGACTTTGGGTTGCCTGCTAATTCAAAATGAGATTTATTGAGACTAAAGCTCCACATGTATTTGAATGTTTGAGCAGGTGATGTGGAGGCCCTGACGCTCGTGCGGGGCTGTCAGCATTAAGCAAGGAGGGCTGACCTTCTGACCCTGTTCATAAAGTCAGCTGGCTCACATAATGAGTGATTACCATACACTGCAGACTGGAGCCTCTCTTACTGCACACTATAATCTGCAGGCCTGCTTTCCAGCCTGCCAGGGCAACACACGACCAGAATGAATTAGCCAGAATGAACTGTGAAAGTTTGGAGTGATTTAAGATTTTTTTAATCATTTTGAAAGACGTCTCTTATGCTCACCAAGGCTGCATTTGTTTGATAAAAAATACAGTAATAGTTAAATTGTGAAAAATTATTGTTTTCTATTTTTGTTTTAAAAATGTAATTTGTTTCTGTGATGGCAAAGCTGAATTTTCAGTAGCATTACTCCAGTCTTCAGTGTCACATGATCCTTCAGAAATCATTATTAATAATGATCCCTATTATTATGAGTGTTCAAAATGTTGTTTGTACTGCTTAATATTTTGTGGAAACCATGAAAGATTTTTTTTCAGGATTCTTTGATGAATAGAAAGTGCAAAAGTATAGCATCTAGTTGAAATAAAAATCTTTTGTAACATTATAAATGTCTTTACTATCACTTTTGATCAATTTAATGAATCCTTGCTGAATAAAAAAAAAATTTAATTAAAAAATAATATATCCCAACATATCGATTACTTTCCACAAAGAAGTTAAGCAGCAAAAACATTGATGATAAAAAGTTTTTTTGTTTTTTTTTGGAGCATCAAATCAGCATATTAGAATGATTTCTGAAGAGGAGTAATGCTACTGAAAAATCAGCTTTGCCATCACAGAAATAAATTAAATTTTTTAAATATATTAAATTAGAAAATAGTTCTATTAAATTGTAATAATATTCCACAAATTTAATGTTTTTCAAAATTCTTCCAAAAACATTTTAAAAAATCTTAAATGGAAAAACTTATTTATAAATTTGGACAAATCTAGTTTTGAACACAAGTGATGCATGCATAGCAAAAGTGCACTGTAGTTTTTACAAACACATTTAACGGTGTTGCTCATGGAAAACCTTGTTGATTTTGTTGACATCACAATCAAAACATTCCTCTGTTTGCTCCCTCAACGTTTTGTATCACCCCAGGGCTGGTTCTTGATAAGGTGTTTGTTGGGACAACAGAAATACCAATGGCAGTAGCCTGGGCAACAGGAGAACCCTTCCCAATTCACCCTTCACCACCATCTGCTGCTGTTCCTGGGGTGTCTCCACTTTGGGAGGAGGGGATGAGGGTTGGCTGAAAAGGCCATGCGATAGGACCACAGGGATAATGCAATATTATAATAAGGCAGTTAAAACCCTTTACAGACCAAGACAGCTGGGGTGATGTATGCAGAGCAGCACTCATCCACGCAGACGGCATGCTCTTATATCAATCAGTGTCTGGACGTGACAGCAGACTTCAGCTCTGGAACATGTGTAGGTCCTCCCTGAGTGCTCCAAAGTGGTCCACCAGTAGAAACACGCCCCAATTGGAGGTCTTTGTGAGGGCTACGCTGTGGTGGAGGGGGTGAGAGGCAAATATCTCGGGGGGGACGGTTGTATAACGACTGGCTTGTGCCAGGCACAGGGCCGCCCTGTCCCTCTTCCTCTCCTCCCCCTGCTAGGTACCTTCACTCCGGCTCATTATGCAGCAGAGCAGATGGAGCAGGTTTTTGTGGCCTAGTCTCTGGGTAGGTTTTAGGTTTTAGGTTTTAGTGCTTGGCTTTATTTGTATTCTGCAGGCGCTGGCTGTCTGAAAGAGCACAATGGAGCTCGCCTGCATGCTGACGTATTGTTCTTCAGGGGCTTATTTGATCACTTCTTTACTCTTTTGGAAGTTTAAAACAAAGTTGCAGGGGTAATGCAAGTTCAGCTGCACTCTGTGGCAAAGTCATTATATGTTTCTGAATGTTAAAAATATTAAATGCATAGTTGATTAAAAGAGATTAGTTGAGAAACAGTTGATTATAACTTTTGGTTATATCTTATAACTTCTGCAATCATGTGCAGTATTTTAATGTGTAGTATAAGAGTAGATGACTTCAGATACCTTGCATGCAATGCTCAATCTAAATCTATTTCAAACTAAGTCTAAGTGTTAACTAACTAATTCTGCTACGTCTTGCACAATTATACATATTACAGTTTTTATGGCTTCACGTTATTTGAGAAGCTTCATGGAATTATTTCTTTTTACTTTTAAAAAATTGTCACTGCAGAATCATTTCAAAGGTAAAAAGTAAAAATGGTGGGGGGAAAGAAATGTAAGAAATGGGGAAAATAATCTAAGAGTTATTGGATATTTTCATTTACATTCAAATTTAAAAAATATAAATATTTTGTTTTTAAAAGTCTATTATCTATAAGGTGCTAAAAACTACAATCTCAAATATTGAATTACTTTCTTGTTTGACAACATAATATGTTTGAGATTGTATGGGGGAAGTGTGGGAGGGTGACCAGATGGCACTTTCTTAACCAATCAGACTCTGTTGTTAGGAAGGTTCTGTCATCTGAGCCGAGCAGAGGAAATCGTGCTTCACCAATATATGCAGGAGGAAGTACAGTCAGTATTGGAGATTATTTTGAATCAGAACACTAATATATGCTGACGATTCACTTAGGGTCATGTTCATTTTGTCGTTAATCAGACACATTTCAATAGAAGCTATAGTCACACAAATATGTGTATTTTGTTTATTTGTTTAATTTGCAGATAATTACTCCTCACCAAGCTTTCTCGATTTATTGCTCTTGTGGAAAATCTTACATTTCAACATATGCTATCACAACGTGCCTGAGGCAAATGAGACTATTGTGTAATATTTTGTATAACAATGTAAAATTGTATAAATAAACAATGCACTTTAAGCCCTAACTTGTTTAATGTGTAAAAAAAAAGTAAATGTCGAGCTTTAAAGCAATGAAGTATAAATTAGTATAAACTTTTCATCCAGTGTGCTCTGCAGTGAGTGACTATTTGCTAGTAAACAACTTTGAATTGCATAAAATAGTGTTCTTCTTACTTAATCATTTCAAGAGAATTGGCTAAAAATAGTAATATATATATATATATATATGACCTTACTCAAGATCCGTCAATATGTATTTTTATGCTGTTTAAAACAAATCAACAACAGGAGACAGAGCAAACAACCATGTCACCATACATCAGCAGTCTGAGATATTAAGTGGTAATATTGAGTTATTAAGCCATGGAATCCTAATTTATTTTATTTTGAAGCTGTTCAAAGAAAATATTTCATTTCATGATTCCGAATATGTAATTAGGGCCTCTTGATTGTTTTATTACTTGTATATTAGCAATGTATTTATCCTGTGGTTTGCTCAGCCTGGCCTGTAATTTGTTAAATAACTACATTTCTTTCTTGATTGCATTCCCAATTCTATACTGTAGATGTTTTGGTGAGTTAATTAGGACTATAAAATTACATTTTTATAGGTGAGATCAGGTTTTTCCCCCATTACAGATTAGATTGGTTGAGCCTCATCATTCTGGCAAGTGCCTCTGTTGAGTAAATTTCAAATTTTCTATATAAAAGAGGAACTTATGTTGTTACATTATTGTTAATTTTATAAGAGAGGCTAATCAGGTTGATTTAGAGAAAAACTGTAGATTATAAGTCATCTTAGTATTTAGGCATTTGTGGGAAGACCACACTGTCAAGTTTTAATATAAAAGTCAACTCGCATAAAAATTGAGAACACATACAATGTTTTGTAGGTATACATTATAATCAAATTCTGCATATTAAGGTTTTCTCCAAGCACTGCAAGTAAAGATGAGGCCTATAAAGTCACTGACATTTTCCTGCATTTTCATGACATGTAAAAAAAAAATAAGTTGCTGCACAAACAAGTTTAAACAAATTTTTAACTCATTTTTGTCTCATAAAAAAGGTCTAAAGTAAAAAAAAAAAGTGTAATAATTTTTACCATTTTTTCAATTTCCTTTGTCTATTTAAGAACATATTTAAATATTTTGTCTTCATTTTTAATCACATTTTTCTAAAGTTAAACCTTTAGAGATTATAAAGTTAGTTTTTTTTTCTTTCTTTCTTTTTTTTCCTTTTATGTCATATCAACATTTCTAAAGTGAAACCTTTAGAGAATAAGACAATTCTGGAAAGTGGAAAGCACATTGCCGACAATAAGATACGTTATATTGTGCAGCAATTACATTTGTAAAAATGTCCGAGATGTTAAAATCCATTTTTAAAAACGTTGCTTCGACGCACCGCCGCGTCCTCTGCGTGTTCAACGCATGCGATATTTGCTCTGTGGAACAGAGGCAAAACTCGCTTCTCCTTCCTCTCCAAACCTCATCCGCACAAAGAATGAGGGCCATTGTGTCGCTCTCGTGGCATACCTGACCTCATTCACATAAAGAATGAGGATCATCTTGGCATGGACGGGACGAGGAACGACGTAGAACCGCGAGGGCCACTCGGGCCTGCCTCGCGCTGCCTGGACGGTTCAGCCTCCTCAGGAGCATCCAGGGATGTGGAAACATCAGCATCCTTGCTTCGAAGGATGAGTCGAGTATTCCTCAAGGTTTGCAGCATCTCAACAGAGAAGAGTAAAGCTCCAGATCAACGCTCGGGCAGAGTGATCTCAGGAACCCACTCGTTATAGCTGCGACTTTCTTCACAGAACAGGTGAAGCTTCTCCAGAGCTGGATCCTCCCATGAGTCCTCAGCTGGGTTCTGTTAAAACGGAGCAGAAGGGTTTTTAAAAAACCAAGTCTGGGCACAAATTAACTTGCACTTAAATGTTAGATATGAACATATTCTCACCGTTATAAGGACACAGTGAGCGTCCTCGAGTTGACCCTTGGTACCAACAAGAGCGTTGAGACGTTTCAGGTCGTTTACTCTGACTATGCTGATGTCGTTGTCAAAGCAAAACGCTTGGATCAGAGTAAAATGGATCTGGAGAGCGATGTCGCACTCAAAGTCATCAGTGGCCAACAAGCAGAAAGACACACTATCAGGGTCCCTGTAAAAACAAAAGTATGTTTGAAATGAGGTAACCCGCACAGCAGCAATGGCATGGTTAAATAGATAGGAAATGGGTTATCGCATGGAAGACGTTCCTCCAAACTTACTCGTTCATTATTTTTGCGCATTCATAGACGCCAACAGTGAGGCGACCCTCCGCCTTGGCAGACAGCAGGGCTTCGGATAGAGATTTTCCTTCATTCACCATTTTGGTTTGAGTTAAAGTAGGCAGTAGCTGTGTTTGAAGTATAGGTCAAAGCAAAACGCTTGGATCAGAGTAAAATGGATCTGGAGAGCGATGTCGCACTCAAAGTCATCAGTGGCCAACAAGCAGAAAGACACACTATCAGGGTCCCTGTAAAAACAAAAGTATGTTTGAAATGAGGTAACCCACACAGCAGCAATGGCATGGTTAAATAGACAGGAAATGGATTATCGCATGGAAGACGTTCCTCCAAACTTACTCGTTCATTCTTTTTGCGCATTCATAGACGCCAACAGTGAGGCGACCCTCCGCCTTGGCAGACAGCAGGGCTTCGGATAGAGATTTTCCTTCATTCACCATTTTGGTTTGAGTTAAAGTAGGCAGTAGCTGTGTTTGAAGTATAGTAGTGGCTCGAGCGGAGCGAAATAAGTTGCGAGTGAGTTTCCAGCTGACACGCGACCAGTACTTATAGTGGTATAGTGGCACGCGTTTGCACCCCGCGTTCTGATTGGCTGTTCTGAACAATAAAGCAAAGGACGTTTCCAAGGCGCGTGCCTTTAGACATGCACGACATCTATAGAACTGTAAGAAAGGATCAAACTCTGATCCTTTCACTTTTGTCCTAATTAAATAGACCGACTTATTCTACTCAAAAGAGGTGGCAGAAATTCAACAAGCTCAGAAAAAATACGCGCATGTTGATGAGTAGCTGTCATGAGATAGTTTAGAAAGGTTCACGTTTTGCGAAAATAAGTTTAAACATTTAAACAGTTTACTTTTTTTTTTTACTTTTTTTTTAATAAATATTGTTCATTGACATGTTTTTACTGTTTTATGAACTAGTGAATGCAAAAAGGCTGATGGTGGCAAATGTTGACCAGTTTCAGAACGATAAACTTCCTTATATAAATTTTAACCTACAATATTGACGTTGACCAAAACAATCAATAAATAGGCATACTGAGTGAATTAACCAACATGTAGGCCTATACATTCCATCATTGCTCAATCTGCGAATAGTTAGGCATATGAATTTTAGTTTGGGCGTGTATTAATTGTTTCTATAAAAAAAGAGTTAAGCAAAAGAAAAGGGTTTATTTAAATTTGTTAATGACAATCGAAATATAGTTCGAGCAAGCCTTTTTATTAAAAATAAAATCGGGGTAATGTGCTTGTCACAGATGGGTGAGTTTATCAAACTGTTGAGGTTGATTTTTATGTGCTGAAGGTTATTTATTACCTATTGCTGATTGTGTCACATACGCGTGGCTAATTTGCATACCCAAAGGTGACCGGATTTACGGCGCGTGGCATCTGGACGTGCTTCTCTTTTGCTATGGAAACACTCCCCATCTGCTGATGGGGGAAGATGAGGATCAGCTGAGCAAATTTCTGCTGTATTTTCATAATTCTGAACATAATTCTGTTTATCAACTGAGACTTCTATCTATGCCTGCGGACACAAACACTTTTTATGGTGCCTTTCGATAATAAACGTTATATAAATATTCTTAATTGCATTTAGAATCATAGCCTTAACTTGTTTAATGTGTAAGCTTTAGGCCTATATTTGTTTAGTTCCTATGCTTGTAACTTTTATTAAAATCGTCTTGAACACGTCTGAACAAACTTCTGGCTGACTTTTATTCCTTTGATGACAGGTAAGTCATATAGAGTAAAATGCAATGGCTTTGTAACAGATGGATGTCCTAATCTGCAGCTGCAGGAGAGATTAAGTAAAAGCAATTGTTCGATTAGTCTGCTTTGCGCTCGAGCAGCTTTGTCTTGGAACACCTGTCACTCTCGCGCACTAAGGGGGGCAGGGACGGGATGCCCGGCCTGCAGATGTGATACTAGAACAATGCATCTATTCTCGTTGCAAGTGTCTTTGCTATTTGAAACCAGTTCTTTCTCTTTCTTTCCTTGTTTGTACTCTGTACTGTGTAAATAAAGCACAAATGTACGCTCTATAGAACTTTCTGTATTATTGTAAGTGTCTTTTTATATGTTAAAGCTATAATTTATATCGTTTGCATGTATGCAACTTAACTTGCCAAAATTATACATGTAAAACAATATTTTACATAGTTTTTCCTATTGCTGCAGCGATCACTATAACGAAAACTTCAACTGAATCTATTTAAGCTCCAGACAAAAAAAAAACAAAAAAAACTTGCACACAATAGTCATATGCGCTGCTGGGCTGCGAGAGGCCAATGGGGGCATCCTAAAGTGAGGCCTCTCCATCTGCTCCTGTTCTGCGGGGTAACAATGGGCCTGCATCAGTCATTGTCAACCTGTTATCTTTAGCCTCTCAAACAAAAACAAAAAAAACCTATTTCCTTCCATATAAGCTTGCATTCGTAATGATCTGTGATTCTGATATAGTTTTGTTTTCCCCCCAATTTTTATTAAAACCTGTCAACAAAATGACAAAAATATCCGCGCATTTAAACCAAGCTGTTTATTCGCACATCATTAAATGCGTTAAGGCTGCGAATGTTTCTGCACTTGGAGAACATACGAATATAAACTGCTAAATTTTCAGGGTGGCCTACATTTGGAAAGCTGCCTCTGGTCACGTGGTCCGTGGACGTAGCAGGCCAGATTGGGCAGCGGGGCGTCATGGCACGCGCATCTTATTTGCATTTGTAAAGGCCTCTAATAATAGAAGTTTCTGAGTTCACAATAGGGCCGTTTCCACAGATGGCCACACTCCACCTGTCTTTTGCGCTGAGGGCGGGGGGATGCAATCCCCTTATCCACATTTGCTCACTTTAACCATTAAAAAAATACGCAAACGCATTCAACAAATAGAAGTGTAATTTGATTCTCTGTAATATACCTCATCTTACTAAATGCATTGCTAAATACCTACTATATATTTGATCAAACAAATTAGCTCAAAAAGAGAATATATACACTAATGTGTTGAGAGTGAGGAGAGATATTACTTTTTAAACAGTTATGTGTATTTGGTCCGGAGTTAGAGAGATAATAAAACATTTTAATACAGCTAAGATACTAAAACGCACAAAACTTTGCCAAATAAATAAATATGCTTTTGTAAAAGACTAATAGGCTATCTAAATAAAAATAAAGTAGGCCTAAAAATAAGATACTGCTCAAACGTATCAATGCATTTGGTTCTATAATATAAACATTAAATAATCAAATAATTAGTTGAAGTCTGCAGAAAGTCTTAAAAAGTGGCATTACAGCCCTCATCAATCTGCCACGAGCCGGAGTGTGACAATAACATTAGCATACCAATGCACCATTCATATGAACCAATCAGAGGACGCTTCTTTCAAAGCCACTACGAGCCGGGGAGTATAAAACCTGCGAGCTCTCGCCGTTAGAGCACCAATCCTTTCATCCAGCTTCAGCTCTGCTATCTGCTCCTTGTGGAATTACTAAACCAGCATCATCATGACTCTCGAGGAAGTTGTCATCCAGAAGCCCAGCGAGAGAGCTCAGTGCACTGGAAAAGCACTGGAAGAAGTTTTGTTTTCTGCCAAAGCGAACGACTGCCTTACCATTGGCGTTTACGAATCTGCCAAAGTTATGAATGTGTGAGTATGCTGTCCATTGATTCTTCCTTCATGCAACAACTTTTATCAAGCGTTTCGACTGATTTAGTAGTACAAATTGTGCTTATAATTTGCCTTTTCTTGTATTTCAGTGACCCAGACAGCGTGTCTTTCTGCGTCCTGGCGATGGATGAAGAGTTCGAGTGCGACATTGCTCTCCAAATCCACTTCACTCTCATCCAAGCCTTCTGTTTCGACAACGACATCAGCATCGTCAGAGTGAATGACATGCAACGTCTTTCTGAGATTGTTGGTGACAATGCTGAACAATTTGAGGATGCTCACTGCGTTCTTATCACGGTATGTATGCGCAAAGGAAAATATTTTACACTCATTAGCAAAAGCAGAAACTATATTTATGCATTTGCAACGTTTTGGATGCCAAGCTAAACTTGCATTTTTCTTCATCACAACAGAAACCAGCTGAGGACTCATGGGAGGATCCAGCTCTGGAGAAGCTTCACCTGTTCTGTGAAGAAAGTCGCAGCGATAACGAGTGGGTTCCTGAGATCACTCTGCCCGAGCGTTGATCTGGAGCTTTACTCTTCTCTGTTGAGATGCTGCAAACCTTGAGGAATACTCGACTCATCCTTCGAAGCAAGGATGCTGATGTTTCCACATCCCTGGATGCTCCTGAGGAGGCTGAACCGTCCAGGCAGCGCGAGGCAGGCCCGAGTGGCCCTCGCGGTTCTACGTCGTTCCTCGTCCCGTCCATGCCAAGATGATCCTCATTCTTTATGTGAATGAGGTCAGGTATGCCACGAGAGCGACACAATGGCCCTCATTCTTTGTGCGGATGAGGTTTGGAGAGGAAGGAGAAGCGAGTTTTGTCTCTGTTCCACAGAGCAAATATCGCATGAGTTGGACACGCAGAGGACGCAGCGGTGCGTCGAAGTAACGTTTTTAAAAATGGACTTTAACATCTCGGACATTTTTAAAAATGTAATTGCTGCACAATATAACGTATCTTATTGTCGGCAATGTGCTTTCCACTTTCCAGAATTGTCTTATTCTCTAAAGGTTTCACTTTAGAAATATTAATATGACATAAAAGAAAAAAAAAACTAACTTAAAAATCTCGAAAGGTTTCACTAGAAATATTTGATATGTAAGAAAACTATTTAAATGTTGTTTCAGACTTTGCATTACAAATTTTGCATTGTAGAAATTACGGAATGCATAAAAAATAAATGTATTAAAAATGAACAATTGTGTCATGTGTTCACTCTTCAGCAGATGCCAAACATTTTAATTGCATTCATAACACATTCACACACCTTAGCTGGTAACCTATGTCATGGATATATTTATATTTCGAGAATGAAAACGAGGCTGTGAGGGATCGACGTTCAGTAGCTGAGTTGTATTGTTGTAGGCTATATCTTGTTCAGCTGACACGGCATTGCAAAATGCATCAATTTCCTAGTGATATAGGCTATACTCAAGAAACGTGTTAAAAGTAGACGCCATAGCTATATCTTGAACTCACTGCACGCGTATCCCTCAGCCTCGTTTTCATTCCCGAAACGTAAAATGACGTCTATAGTGAATAATGTCCATTCCTAAAGTTTTCATTCTTAAGTAACTCTCCATCTGCAGCCGCTGGCGATCTGCATGTGTATAGCTACAGCACAATAGTAGCGCGCTGTCCCGTTAAATTGGGGGCCCCAGCACAAGGAACTCATTGTTACCTCGGCAGATGTCTGAGCCACGACGCTACTCCATCTGCCAAGTAGCGCAGATGGGAGGTGAAGGCTGTGCCGCGGGGGGTGAGTGTTGGGCTGGCACTCGTATGGCTCCCTGTCAGTTGCTGTATTGTTTACAAACCGCCCGTGGCTTCTGCACGGATTGCTGCAGCACTCAGCGTTGAGAGAGGGGCTTCAATGAACGCACAGAGAGCCTGTAAACTGAATATGTAGGGCTATTTAGTGAAAGTTTGTACACAAAAATGGAGGAAAGCAGTAAAAGTCGACAAATGTAATACGTTTTTATTTGCAATTTTTTTTTTTTTTTTTTTTAAAGCTGGCTGACTGAAACATACATAAGTTAAGCCACTGACAATTAAGTAAAATTTCTTGTGCAAAAGAAAACTATTTTAAAAGTACTGTTGAAGTTAATAAGAATTAGCATGTAGTTTCTCATTGATTTGATCTATTAAATTATTTGTGCTACAAGTGAACATCAGTAATGCCACAACTCCCACAATATTAGGCAGGTTTGTAAATAGTTGTCTGCCCAAAAATTTAAACTTTCTTAATTTATTCACCCTCATGTTATCCCAAATCTGTACCTTCTTTATTCTGTGAAACATCAAAAGAAGATATTTTTTAAAATGTTGCATTGTTGTTTTGAACATATGCAATGAAAGTCATTGGGGTCAAGTATTGTTTTGACTTTCATTGTACTATGGAGAAAAAGACTGAATAAAAGGGATGAACTATGCCTTTAAGAAGCACACACAGTTTTGAGGAGTGTAGTAGGTTCCTGTAGGCACGGAGACTGTCTCTTTTAGGATCTTTGACGACTCCACTGATTATAGGTGCAGACTCGGCTCCATTGTTTCTTTTAACTCTGTGCAGTAGTATGCGGTAAACCCCTGTAATGGGACTGCGAATGCGTTTTCCTTGGTTATTGAGAATATGTTCCTGAGTGACTCCCAGTTTCTCAAGGATACCTTTTACCTCTTCCTGGTCTCCGTCTAACTCCCCTGGGCCGGCCTCTATTAGATGGATGGGGTTGAGCTGGTATAAGGGAGGAATTGGCCGGAAGAGTTCCACTGGCAGCAGCCACTCGCAGCCCAGCATCTGGTCTATTGCGCATCGCTCTGAAGGTTCTGGCTTCAAGATCCCCCTGATCAGCCGCTGACATGGAGCTGATACCCAGGTTGGCAGGACGTAGGCACCCTCCAGCACGCTTTGGCGCAACTTGGCCACAGTGTCAGCGCGGAAAGGCAATGTGCCAGTCACCATGAAAAAAAGTAGGACGCCCATTGCCCACACATCCACAGGTGGCCCGATGCAAGACTCATCTTTGAAGAGTTCTGGAGCTGCATAAGGAGGAGAACCGCAATAGGTGTCTAGGGCTTGGTTGAGATTGTTGACCCTTGTGCTGAAGCCAAAATCAGCCACTTTTATGCAGGAGTTGGTTGTATAAAGAACATTTTCTGCCTTCAGATCACGATGGATGATGTTGTTCTCATGCTGAAATGAACACAGATATATAATTATCTGTCATCAATTCAACTCTCATCCAGTGATTAAAATTATTTGGGTCAATGACACATACCATAAAAAATGGAAAAAAGAAATCTTTTAAAATCTAGTTTAAAAATCCTTTGAAATCTTTATTTTGTTGGATTTATATGGTTTTCCAAAATTTAGTTTAAATTTAATTTAAATTTAGTTTTTCAAATTAAATTTTAATGCAGAAATGTGCTCTTCATAGAAGAGGTGTATTCAAACCATGCACTGCATTTTTAAGTGTTTTTGAGTTAATAGATCTGGATAAAAATGAACATCATGTCAGTGACCCGTTTAACAATTTTACTGTACTTACTATGACTTACTATTGGTATGTTTTCTATAATCTAGATTTTAAAAAGTGATATATTATTGATATAGAAGGTCTAACCATGTATTTAACTGCTGACAGGATTTGGGCGAATACAATCTTGCTCTCTTGGTCAGAGAGTTTTCCTCCGGAGCTGATTCTGGTGTGGACATCTCCTCCTCCGGCGAACTCCAAAACCAGGTACAACCGACTTGGCGTCTCCAGTACTTCATAGAGTTGCAATAAGTTTGGGTGATACAATCTCTCCATGTTGGAGATTTCTTTAGACAGCATCCTCTGGGTCTGCAGATCGAGCCTCATCTTATCCATGATCTTAATGGCAACCTTGTCTACAGGAGATGCATGTGGAATAAAATCAGGATGAGGTCGTTACACATTAATCCTGTTACTTTCTTAATTCTGACATTTTACCAACATTTACCATTTCCTATCCTAGATTCAAAAAGTCAAGTGTTTATTCAAAACCAGTTAGATTACGTTAAATCTCTTCTACCTTTGGTGAGGGCGTGGATGGCCAGTTTGACCTTCGAAAAGTTTCCACAGCCGATCTGACCGCGGACTTTGTAGAAGCCCACCCTTCTGCCCACCGTCAGTTCCTTTATGATATCTTCGTCATTACACATTTCCAGTGTTAACTTTTCCAGGGGTGTTAGATGCTTAGAAGGGTCTGCGTCCTCTTCCGGCTCTGACCCACATTCTGAGCTGTCCGTCAGAGTGTAAATGTTGTGCCGATGCACCTGCGGTGACACCTGACTTGCCCTTGCAGGCATTTTGCAGCTGCTTAAGGCTGAAAAACAGGAACCAACAGTAACCAAGAGGAAAATTAGTTACAGTTCACTATATTTTTATGCATAGAAATGAGAAAACAGTATATGTGTTGCATGTCGATAACTGTGAAAATATTTGAATATATTAAAATATCCTAAATACATTTTTAATATATTCTTGTTCCTGATTGAGGAATAACTCCATAATACGCAATCTTAAAGGGATAGTTCAACCAAAAATGAAAATTCTGTCATCAATTTTTTTCCATACTGTGGAAGTCAATGGTTACCAGCAGAAGAAAGAAACTCATACAAGGTTGGAACAACCTGGCAGTGAGTAAATGATGACAGAATTTTCATTTTTGGGTGAACTATCCCATTAAAACCATAGTTCTTTAACAATCAGAATGAACATTTTTAGCTGGCATGGACATTTAATTACAGCCCATACTAACACTAATCGTATAAATAAAACGTTTTCCGTAAGATTATTAATTATTTATATTGTTTATTGTAGAAGTTAACAAGCATGTAAATTGCACTTTGTTGACTCTAAATTTATAAATAACATTAGCATGTAAAATAAATGACCTTACCGCTGTGCTCTTGTAGAAGACCAATGCATGGCTGCATTTCTTTTTTATAGGATTTGAAGTCAAAGAATATGTCCACATGTTCATATTGAGTTTCTAAAGTCAAATGATAATATTTATCTTCTTTTACAGATTAAAAACAAACAGTTACATTAGGTTTTTGTTAAGGTAATGTATGACCATCATGCAGACATTCATTTTAACTGTCCTCTTCTGTAACTGCATGAATAAAAATCATTGATGTGGTTTCTCCTGGATAGTCTTCCTGTCTCCAAGGAAGTCTTCAGCTCTCTCCATCCATGACTCTGTCAGAGTGAGAGAGAACATGCTGCTGGTATCATGTTTCCTAATCTGCCAGCTTTATTTAGAGTTACCTTAATCCTCCCCGCTGTCCTAGACGATGCCTGTGATGAACAAAAGCCAAGAACCACAGCCAAAGGAGAGTGAAAAACCAGCAAACATGTGCACCACTGATTCTTTTAAAGCACTCGTGGGAGATATGTCATGTTTAATCTGGTGGGATATATACAATCATACAGGAGGTCAGAAGACTTTAGAGACGTGATTGTCAGTGATCTTAATGAGGCTGATCTCTGACTGTACAGCGTAGGATCAGACGTTATGTAACAGCATTACTAATGAGATTACTGCAGGACCACATAAAGGGGTTTGGCTCATATGATTATTACTAGTCCGCTAGCCTCTCAATGTGAATGATGGGGCTTTACATTCTCATTCTGGAGAGCATGTGTGCTGCTCGTGAGCATGACGTCAGATGCTGTTTTCTTCGGTGTATAATATCTGCTTTTATTCTCTTCCAAATAAGTTCAAAATACGTCATAAAATTCAATCTTGTTAGCATTAACTAAAACTATTAAAAATATGTTTGTTAATTGAAATAAAGCTGAAAAAAATTAAATAAATATTAAATAATTTAAAAAACTAGTTTGTTGCTAAATTTATGTATAGTATTATATATGTAATACTATTAATAGTATTATATATGTATATACTATATATACTAATACTAGTATTATATATGTATTATATATATATATATATATAAATTATTAGTATAGTATTAAAATGACCTAAAGCTGAAATAAAAATAAAACAATTTAAAAAAATGAAAATGACAGAAGCACATATAACAAATGTACTACAAATTAAATTAAAATGAAAACTGAAAAAAAGCTTCTTTAAAATATTAATAAAAACTCTATTTTACTAAATTATATATTACTAAAATAGCACTAATAATGTTGCATGCAATAATGTCTGCATAGAATAAATTATTTTAAATATATTTTTCGTGATTTAAACTGTAATTGTAAGTAATTAATTTCAATAGTCAGATTCCCTGAATGAACCAGCATTTTCCTAGTATTTGATGTCATGAGAGTGTATTGTGAGCATGTGCATGTGTGTGTTCCTGAAGAAGGCACCGAATTACCAGCCATCTCTGTTGATGAGATTACAAGCTTTATCTGGAAAATGGCAGTTGTGTTTACAGGTGTCCCGAACCAATGCAAGAGCACCAGGCCGTAATCTCCTGGAAGTCCATGTCACCTGCCATATCCTCCCCTTCTGAATGACCTCTCATATAGCAGTCTTCACAGCTATTTGTTTATAAATGTTCATTTATTATAATGGCAAGACAAAAAACATGTACACTGAAATTAAGAACACAACAGAACATAATTTAAAAACATTTAGTACATATTCTGAGGAAAATGTGTTTTAAAATAAATACAACTGTCAACCATTTGGATAAAGGCCCTCACGTATCAAAAGTCAGCTCAAAATAAGTCTTAGTTTTTTCTCCTTTTCAGACGAGAGTCCATCAATCCGTGAAGGCTCTGCTGTTCCAGCTCTCTCACCCTCTGACGCAGAGCCTCAATCTCTTTGTTTTTCTCCTCCTGAATGAACTGGAGCTTCTGGAGACACAAACAGAAACGATTCAATATAGAGGTGTGATCAGAAACCTTGCTTTCCTCAATGACATGAGGTGTTTTCAGGGCCGTTTCTAGGCATAGGCGAGCTAGGTGGTCGCCTAGGGCGCCACCAGCTGAAGGGGCGCCAATGAGCGCACGTACTGGCACTTTTAGCAGGGTTGTGATAGAAACTCACTCTTTTAAAGATATTCTGTGGACGAGGAGCAGAAGATTGTGTGTGTGGCTGACTCTTTGTGGACATGCTCTGGGCCCTTGCAAGCTTAGCACCGAACTGCAAAAGATAAAACATTTTTTTTACAGCCATAAAACTGTGCAAAACAAACATAAAATGAAAAGTATTAAGAAAAATAATTTTACCTTCAACAAATGAAGAAACCCATAGTGTATTAAAACTTATTAAAGTTTCATTTATACACAAAACAACTAGGTTTTCAAATTAAATTCTACCTCCATTTGAAGTTTAATAGAGCAGAAGATTGTGTGTGTGGCTGACTCTTTGTGGACATGCTCTGGGCCCTTGCAAGCTTAGCACCGAACTGCAAAAGATAAAACATTTTTTTACAGCCATAAAACTGTGCAAAACAAACATAAAATGAAAAGTATTAAGAAAAATCATTTTACCTTCAACAAATGAAGAAACCCATAGTGTATTAAAACTTATTAAAGTTTCATTTATACACAAAACAACTAGGTTTTCAAATTAAATTCTACCTCCATTTGAAGTTTAATAATTTGGCTTTGCATTTCTTTCTCCTTCTCTCTCATCTGCCTTCTCATCTCCTCCAAAGCGCATTCATTTCTCTCATGAGCCACTTTCAGTTCAGTATCTTTAGCATCCACTTTGAAAACAAAATGGGAAATGTTTTCTTTTTGAATGTGTAATACTGCAAAATGTTTAACAGCATCCATTCCAGATAGCACATGTACGTCTACAAGATGTTTGTTAAAGATCGCTTAATCTGGAAAGCATCTGCTGTGTACAAACATCTGATAGACGTCTCTAAGATGTCAATTTTACATATATTCTATCTAAATCTTAAACATCTTTAAGACATTTTCTAAACGTCTATAGATGATGTTGTGATAGGTAGATGTTGTGATTTTTGCCTCACATTTCCTTTGTGTTTCTTTATCGCAGTCTTCCAACTCCCTCTGGTGTTGATCTTGTAGGGCTTTCATCTCAGCTGCCATCCTCTGAAGCTGAATATTGCTTTCCTACAACCACACGGGGGCAGAATCGAGCACATACACTCAAAACTTCTTACATTTTATGCTTATGCCAGCAGTAATATATTTGAATACAGGCCAATCTTACCTCTAATTTAGCTTCATTTTCTTTCTTCATCTGAAGAGCTGCATTTTTCAGCCTTTCATTTTCAACTAGATAGAGTTGTGATTATTTATTAATATTTTTATTTGGATAGGGTCTTAAATTATATTAAGCGAAGAGTAAGCAAACAGTTGATGGGGTCAATGGTGCCTATCAACTGTTCGAATACTATCATTTTTCAAAATATCTTCTTTTGTGTTCAACAGAAGAAAGAAACTCATACAGGTTTGGAACAAGTGGGGGGTGAGTAAATGATGACAGAATTTTCATTCTGGAAGTGAACTACTCCTTTAATACGATTTCTCTACCTCTGAGGTCGCACTGTTGTTGTAACTTAGACCTTTGACAGTTTCCAAAAGCCCATCTCTCTCTGTGAAGAAAACAAAACCATGTCGAAGAAACAACATTATTATAAACCGAAACAATTAACGAATAACTTTTCTTTCTGCGTCCGAATTACTTTATTACAATTAAAATATGGAAATAGAAACATTAAACCTAAACACAAATTAAAGGTGTAAAGCTTTTTTTCTGCAATTACACCACTAGATAGCAGCCGAGATTAGTCTGACCCACTTCTGTGGTAAAAACCTTCTTTTTTTACTTCATAATTCTTACCTTCAATTAACTGTTTCTCTTTGTTCTGTGCGATTTTTAGAAGTCTGCTAGTCTCGTCCAGCTCTATTTCAAGAGTATTATTCCATGTCGAAGAAACAACATTATTATAAACCGAAACAATTAACGAATAACTTTTCTTTCTGCGTCCGAATTACTTTATTACAATTAAAATATGGAAATAGAAACATTAAACCTAAACACAAATTAAAGGTGTAAAGCTTTTTTTCTGCAATTACACCACTAGATAGCAGCCGAGATTAGTCTGACCCACTTCTGTGGTAAATACCTTCTTCTTTTTTTACTTCATAATTCTTACCTTCAATTAACTGTTTCTCTTTGTTCTGTGCGATTTTTAGAAGTCTGCTAGTCTCGTCCAGCTCTATTTCAAGAGTATTATTTTCCCATTTCATCTCCGTAATTTTCTTAATCATACAAAACAGTCATTTACCTCAGAACATTAGTACACAGCTTTTATAACGACACGTTCTTTACGAGGCCTATTTTAATATCTTAAATATACATTTAAAGGCCTTATGCTCCAGTTGGAGAAAATCTTTGACAAGTGTAGTCAAGTCGACGACAGTAGTGAGCTTTTTCATCTTGAGTCTAACTAAGTTAGGCAACAATTAATAAATAACTAACGCTTCCTCGCTTTTAAGATAAATGTACTGTAAGTAAACAATGTATAGTAAACTACGGATATTCACGGTATGTTTGTTTCCAAGATCAACACCTGGAAAGGAGCATGTGGGAAAATCCTTTCTTCGAAATATCAAGCACGTGATCCCTGGAAGTAGCACAGGTGACAGAGTGCAAAGCATTAAGTTCATTGCTGCCATTTATTTAGAGACCTCGTATGTACTATGCACATTATAGCTTTAAAAACATTGTGCACTGATAAGCAATACTGAACCAAGGCTAAAACATAGCAATGAGTTGACAAACCCAGCTGACAAACAAAAGCCATTTATATGTGTGTGTGTGTTTCAGCTAAGAACACTTGTTACAAGAAAAGAAAAAAAACACCATATTTACATCACTGTGGCACAAAAGCCTGTCCAGTCTTTTATGGAAAAAAATGGCACTGAGGACAAGAGCCTGTAACAGTTCACATAAACAGTTCACATAAACCCCTTTTGATTTAAATGTGCACTATTTTTAACACTGCTGTTGAAATAGAATCTAAAGTAGGCACTTTACAGTTTACACAGACGTAGTTGGTAGTTAGTTCAGTGAAAACAAATAATACAAGTGCATACAATATGGAGACGGTAATAGAGCAATATAGCTGTTACACAACATGTGAGAGCATAAAATATCAGTTGCTATCTTTTTATGACAGTAAACAACCAGCTAATATACTTCTGCTCCATATCTGCTCACACTAACCCCTGAAGCTGTTAACCCTCCAAATTAGGAGAATAAAGAAAAGATTCTAGGCCTAATGAAGCCATTTATTAGCTTGCCAATAGATTTGTTTCATGACTTCCATTCCACTGGAGAACGCTTGAGAACTGGCTTCGTTTCAAAATTCCCTCCTCATGGATGACACATCATGTTTGGTGTTGGCTAACCATGTCCGATATCTCACAAAGAGCAAACGTACTCCACTTTTAGTTAAGGTGTAATGTTGTCGAGTACGTCAGGAGTCAAGTACCCTTCAGGAGTGGGCAAAGTCTTCACTGCTGCCTTCTGTGGGGCGGTTGGTGTATTAGGTTTCAGGAGGAGACTATTTTTCCAGTCCACACCATCTACCATGGTGTACTCCGGACTGGTAGGCATTGCAAGGATGGGAAATGCAGTGGACTGTGGCGACGTAACCGTTTCAGTGCTCAGGATTTGAAGGTCCCTGAATGCACCGTGTTGTTCTTGACTCTGTGATTGGTCTGCCGGTGGGTTTGGTTTATTGTGGTGGGTGCTGATTGTGCTGGCAACAAACTCAGAGGTGTAGCCTCTTTCGTCAGGAATCACTACCAACTGTTGGATTTCTTTCCTCTTATTGTGGTCTTTATCCTTCAGAGCCATTGTTTCTTGCTCTTCAGGAGAAAGCACAACTTCACCACGCTGAGTGACATCTCTCACTTGTGAGTAAAGGCTGTTTGACCAGGTAGTGTCTTGTGTACATGACAATGGGTGGAAACCATCGTGGTTGCTGGCTGAAGGGTGATGTAGATCCGTTTGATCATGATCTGACAGGTCCGGATCACAGCAGCTAGCCCGACCCGAGTCATCATCCCTGAAACTACTGGACATTTGAGGCGAATCAGAGACCGGAGAATCAGCGACAAGGAGCTCCTCCTGGCTCTCATGCGGTTCGTCGATGTCCACTTCTATGAACTCTACCCATGGATCGTTGCTGTACAGTTCTGGCCGCAAGCCCGGCTGGGTGCCTAAGATTGACGTGAATTCACTCAGCTGACCTTTCTGTGAAGAAACAAACCAAATAGAAAAGCTTTAATTTGTAGAAACTTTACAGTTTACACAGACGTAGTTGGTAGTTAGTTCAGTGAAAACAAATAATACAAGTGCATACAATATGGAGACGGTAATAGAGCAATATAGCTGTTACACAACATGTGAGAGCATAAAATATCAGTTGCTATCTTTTTATGACAGTAAACAACCAGCTAATATACTTCTGCTCCATATCTGCTCACACTAACCCCTGAAGCTGTTAACCCTCCAAATTAGGAGAATAAAGAAAAGATTCTAGGCCTAATGAAGCCATTTATTAGCTTGCCAATAGATTTGTTTCATGACTTCCATTCCACTGGAGAACGCTTGAGAACTGGCTTCGTTTCAAAATTCCCTCCTCATGGATGACACATCATGTTTGGTGTTGGCTAACCATGTCCGATATCTCACAAAGAGCAAACGTACTCCACTTTTAGTTAAGGTGTAATGTTGTCGAGTACGTCAGGAGTCAAGTACCCTTCAGGAGTGGGCAAAGTCTTCACTGCTGCCTTCTGTGGGGCGGTTGGTGTATTAGGTTTCAGGAGGAGACTATTTTTCCAGTCCACGCCATCTACCATGGTGTACTCCGGACTGGTAGGCATTGCAAGGATGGGAAATGCAGTGGACTGTGGCGACGTAACCGTTTCAGTGCTCAGGATTTGAAGGTCCCTGAATGCACCGTGTTGTTCTTGACTCTGTGATTGGTCTGCCGGTGGGTTTGGTTTATTGTGGTGGGTGCTGATTGTGCTGGCAACAAACTCAGAGGTGTAGCCTCTTTCGTCAGGAATCACTACCAACTGTTGGATTTCTTTCCTCTTATTGTGGTCTTTATCCTTCAGAGCCATTGTTTCTTGCTCTTCAGGAGAAAGCACAACTTCACCACGCTGAGTGACATCTCTCACTTGTGAGTAAAGGCTGTTTGACCAGGTAGTGTCTTGTGTACATGACAATGGGTGGAAACCATCGTGGTTGCTGGCTGAAGGGTGATGTAGATCCGTTTGATCATGATCTGACAGGTCCGGATCACAGCAGCTAGCCCGACCCGAGTCATCATCCCTGAAACTACTGGACATTTGAGGCGAATCAGAGACCGGAGAATCAGCGACAAGGAGCTCCTCCTGGCTCTCATGCGGTTCGTCGATGTCCACTTCTATGAACTCTACCCATGGATCGTTGCTGTACAGTTCTGGCCGCAAGCCCGGCTGGGTGCCTAAGATTGACGTGAATTCACTCAGCTGACCTTTCTGTGAAGAAACAAACCAAATAGAAAAGCTTTAATTTGTAGAAAATACCCTCAAAGTCCTATAAAAATGGATGTGAAGTCAAATACCTGTAAAAGCATAGGATCAATTCATGACTTTCAGGTCATGAATTTAGTACAATACAGTAAAGTGGAATTAATTGGTAATATATTGTGGAATTTATTTGCAATGCAATAAAAAATAATGAATGCAGTAGAACATTAAAGGTACAGCAGGAAAGGGAAAGGACGGAGGAAACTAATGAGGGGTTATGTAGAAATATCACAGGAAATCATTGTATTCATACATAATGCTGACAGATTTCCTTTACACGGTTATATAACAGAGCAGGTACTTACTTTTGCTGACGTGAAACTACAACCAGCATCAAAATAATTGCGATACCAACGGCAGCGAAGACCAACACAGCTGTTATAGGAATTCTTGATTCTGAAATTGAAACAGGACATTCAAATCATCAATCAATTGAAAAAAAAATTAAATAACTTCCTTCCAAAATCTACAGACAGGTAGATCTTAAATCAGACCTATGTTAGGAATAAGTATAAAGATGGAGTCACTGAAGACACCAAAGTTGTAGCCTCTCATTTTTGACCTGACTCTGACTTCATATTCAATGTTGCTGCGCAGACCATAGATGTACGCCTGTGTGTCTTTGAAATTATCCAGCTGTAGAGAGACAAACAAGAATAAGACACCTAATAACACTCCAACCTTGAAGATAATGAGCTCCAAACACGTCTAATCATGGCTGCAAAATCCAGGTCACAGTCTTCAACATGGTGAATCAAATGTAATGACTCAAGTATTCTGAAAAGAAATCACTTTTAATAAAGCTTCAGAGGAACTCCTCAAGAAAAACATTTGACTTCATGTCTGTTTCTCATTAGGAGCTTATTAGAAATCTGGTGGTGCTGATTTGCACAACGTTGCGTGAGACTCACCGAGTTCCACTGGTCTGAACCCTTTTCTCTGTACTGTGTCTCATATACCAGCAAGATCCATCCTGTCTTCACATTCTCTGTAGCAGATGGGGGTGGATCCCAGCTCACAACCACATCATAGATTAAGCCAGTAGAGCCCATGCTCAAAAGAGTCCAGTTCAGTCCCACAGGCGGGTCTGGAAACACTGAGAAAATAATGAATATCAATGAATACATGCTTGCAAATATTTTGCGCATTAACGCAATGGAAAAGCTGATTAAGTTATTTGCAAGGATGGTGGGAATGCTTAGCGTTTTGGAGAGCATCATTCCATTCAGGGGGAAAAAAATTATATATATATATATATCCTTCAAATGCCAAAATATATTATATTACAAAATACATCACAGAACATTACCATTAAGGGGCAAGAACATATCTCAAAATGCTACATTTCAGGTTAATGCAAAATGTATTATGAAAAATATATTTAAATATAAATTAAAATATATTTTGAAAAAATGTGCAAAAAACATGAATAGGTAACTAAAACTTATTGAAAATATATTTATCAGAATCTATATTAGCAATATATTTTAGTATATTCTGAAATATTTAAAAATATATGTGAAAATATTTTGAAAACCATTTTGCCACATGGGAATGTGCACTTGAAGGCATGCCAAGAAAGAAGAAAACAAAGAGTCAGGATTTGTGTTTACGACATGGCTTACCAATGTCCTCCACGTTGAAGGACATTTCATCATAAACAACGTCAAGAGAGCGGGAACGCAGCTGCACCACGTAAGGGAACCATATAATGGTATTACTGGAATCAAAGTAGCATTCATTTTTCCTTATGGAACTGTAACTTGGACATTCCATCCATTTCTCAGAATCGCTGCAGACATGGGAAATTGGTGATCATTAAGTAGAAGAACAGTCATTTGTCTAACAACTTAACTGCTTCACTGATTGTAACTTGTATTCATTCTCTTTACTTGCAGGTGCAAAAGAATTGTGTTAACAAATAATACTGAATATCATGCATTTTTTATGTATCAATAGTGCATTTCATTCTATGATGTTATGTGTTACTAATTACTTTTCTAATATGTAGAAAAGACTCAGATCCTCGAGTTCTGTGTGGATCTGGAGGGATCCAGTCTCCCACTGACAACGGAAAGTCATCAGCTCTCGAGAAAAGCAGACAGTCAGATGAGGCAGTGTTGAAGTCTGACCTGCAAAGTAGGTGAAGGTGAAGGAAATATTGCTGTTGTTGAACATACTTGCGTTAAGGCATGCTTCCAAGAAGTCTGATGGACCAGAATAAAATAACAGGAATGTCACGTTTTTAATTAGACTTTATTAGAATGTGTCACTACATCTGCTGCATTTGCAGCAATGAAATATTTCAAAAGACATATGAATGTGACATCAATAATGCAATTCTATATTCTACAGTTTCATATTTTTTAAACAACTCATAAATTATAAGGAATAAAGTTGATTTTTTTCTTTTACTTTATTTATTATACTTTATTTAAGCACAGCTGAGAATTATCAAATGTTTCACAACTAGAATAATATTCTGAAAAAAGGCAAAAATTCTGTGAATGTCCTTCAGTATAAACCAGCTTTGGACTAACAGGATGTAACATAAATCCCAGTTGGGCTATAACTGTCAGCTGTGTTTTCCTGGAAATGTGTGCTGGCATTTTTCGCATGTAGAAGCATTTGTGTGGCAGTGCGCCATTACTGCCTGCAAGATCTTTGAAAGGATCTTCCCGAGCTGTTCAGCTGACAGCATTTAGACAGCAATACTGATAAAACTTTAATTGATGATTAGAACTGCTAAATTTAAACATTGTTTAAACAATATTTAAACACATTGTACGATTCATCTTAAAGTAGAGTGTAACAGAAGAACTATTGAGGTTTTATTTATAGACCACAGCACAATCTGTATGGTCTTCTTATTTACACTGCCAGTGTTTTACAGGTCATTTCATCATCATCTCTTATTGTGTAGTTCTTTTTTCCCCAGGAAATACAGAGAAAAGATCATTAAGAGCCATCATACTAGCTTGGTTTGTGTTTGTCTGGGGTTACTGATGTATCAGTATTAGTATTCAGTTACAGAGCTAAATTACCTGCTTGATTTGCAAACATGTAGTCTCTTGTTGATGAGTTTGTTCAGGCTCTTGCAATAACACTCTTGCTCTCATTTTTTTTCTTTTTTTACATATTTAAAACTACAAATTACCTTGGATTTTTTTATAAACTAATAATAATCTGGCAGATAAAGGATAGTAATGAATCAGAGCTGTCAACTCTATGTTCCCATAGAAACTAATGTATAGCACGCATAGCACCTGCAGAATGAAGCTAACCATCCATTTCATATAGCAACATGCACTCCCTCCCACTTACTGCAGCCCACTTCTATAAAACGGAGCGGAAAACATGTTTTATGGAACTCATAATGGACAGAGCCGATCAAAAGACAGCACTTCAAAACGAAAGCATTTAAAAATGGTCTGGTGAAGAACAGGAGTGCAGCGGTAAAAGCTGAAATAAAAATGTGCAGTGTAGTTAATTAACTCCATCCAAAGAGCCATGGAAAAATCTTGGTTCCAGCTCAAATTTCAGCCTTCTAATATTTTATCTGTGATCCAGTTCTCTGTAGCCTGCGTTTGGAGTTCTGTTATTAAAAATCTGTTTTACTTATGGATTTTTTAATGTAAAAGCCAAACAATATGCATTATGCAGAGGCCCTTAGACTCTGAGTATTTGCAGAAAGCCAAGGAGCTGCCTTATTTCACAATGGCTCCCCGACTAATAAGTGAGGGTGGGTTCCTAAAGAAAGCATCCTGTTTTCTTGTTGTTTGACTAAACTATTGTACAACAGGCTCCAGACAAGTCATGCTGGGTTAGTGCAAAACATTAAAACTGCAACATGAAACTGTAGATATAAAAACTGCAAACCTTGTATTGTAGGAGGCAC